AATTTAAATTTAATATTGCATAAAGCAAATTACATATAAAAAAAATGTTTCTAGAAAAATTATAATATTACCAAAGAATCTTTTTCTTCAAATTAGCTAACTTTGCTTAAGTTCATGCATTTATTCTCAACACTACGAACTCTAGTGTATATGACATTTAAAGGTGGGTCTTTATCTAGACAAAATAAATCGTAATTAATATTACGCTTTTCAATAAATATTAAATTAGAAAACTTTGTAATAATTTAAATGATTATTAATTTTAATAATGTGCGATTGTATATCAATCACATCAAAATAATAATAAGTTGAGAGATTATTTAAAATACCTTATGCACTTAAGGTTTTGCTAGAACATTTCAACACATTAAGCTGCTTTCGGAAATATTTACTACTTTTATGTATGAAAATTACACCACAAACGGTTCACTTAAGATACAAAATAAAAATTTTGTGAACGCACCGACAATGCCGAAATGTCTATTTGCAGTCGCTATCGCTGTTAATGTGACCTCTCGCAAAATCTGCACTTGACAATATCATTTAGCCCCGACATGCATGACACAGATGACACACGTTTGCCATTGACACCACAATCTGCATTGCGGTCACACGCAAAAAGATTTCACTCGAATCCTATGAAAATGGGAAAGGTCAGCAAATACAAAAGCTCGATTTTTTAAACAGCAAATCACTACAAAGGAAGTTTGGTGAGGCGAGGCGAGGCGGGGCGACACGAGGTGAATGTAGTTGGCACGGACCTTCCTCTAGTCTCGTAGCCTCAATATGCGATTGTGCATTTTTTGAGAACTTTTAAAATACGCAAAACCACAATGTTTTTACATGTGTGACCATGTTATAATCGTAATTTCCATGGAAGATGTGTTAAAATTTTCAAATATTGTAGCTTTTATCAATGTTGCTTTTGTTATTGTTTTTGATGATGATTTTTGCGGTTCTGTTCGCCCAAAATGATGAGAAAACACTTTTGTTTTTGATGTTGTTTATGTTTATGTTTATTTTGTGGTTTTTTAAAATATGCCTTTTGTCCCTGATTTGTGAACTGAAACAAGAAGAATTCTGGAAAAAATGTGGGATTCCTAAAGTAATCCCTAATTTTTCGCGTACTTTACGATTTATTTCCCTTTCGCAAAAATAAAAAATTTTTTTAATACGATTACTCAAAATACTCTCATATTTTATATTAATTAAATTTACTCGAAACTGCTCTCTATTAAAGACAATTTTTTTTTAAATAAACTAGTGACTACCGTCATAACTGACATTAAAATGCTATTTAAATTTATTTTCTAAAAGTACAGCAGTGCTTGTAGTATACTTTTGGGATAAAAAAAAACTCTTGTTTCATTAAAACTGCAAGAGAAATACTAAAATTTTTTATTAAAAATATAAACTGCACTAATTTTTAAATATTAATAGAGCTCAACAACGAAGCTAAAAACCCAATGAAATTATTTTAAGAGAATATATTTATTGAATAAAGTACTCGTGTTGGTATAAAGCTACGCTTTCTTTGTATAGTGACAAAGAAGCTTTATTAAAATTTAGGGGGTTTTGAATAGCAAATAAAGAAATAAAAGACAAACACAAAAATTTATTTTTAATTTTATTGAAGTTTGGCTGACCATACAACGCTGTTTCGAGTATTGCCAAGTACTCTTCATCAGTGGTCTTTGGAAATAATCGAATTTTTATTTAATAAGTTTATAGTCCGTAACATATAGTATATAATTTGTTTGGACTGCAAGTGCCAGGCTTAGAACTCGTAATATATTATAGCTTTATATCTTCTTTAATTGTTTATTCAAAAATTGAATGTTATACAATTATATAAATTACAATATGCTAGAAATAATGTTTTTGAAATTCTCTCTGTCTCTAGCAGTATGTACTAAGTCTTCAATCGTGCTTAAACCAGTCCCGTGTCGAATGTTTCTCAACCTAGTAATCAAATTACTTTCCCTGCCATGTTTGCCTTCAAAATCAAACGACTTTATATACTTGTACATAAACGTCGAAATAATTTCATCTGCCATTGTACTAATTAATTTAATAAAGACTTTGTGAATATATGATATACATATTATATATCGCATAAAGTGATGACCTCGAGTAAATATGTGCTCTATTTACTTTATATAGAGCATATGCGTTGTGTATTAATTTTTAAGTTTCACTTCCGTTATACTAAGAGCACAAAGAAAATGAATCTAAAACTAAATGTTTATTATATCAGCAATTGTAATCTCTTTGATAAGAAAATTAACCACTAATAAATAAATAAATTAGTAAATTAAATTCAAATTAATCTCGTAACAATTTTTCACTTACTTATTACACCAGCTGATCCATTTTGATACATAAATACAATTTTCATACATGTGATGCTTAGGGAATGGATTTTGGATTTAAGCCCCCAAAATATTTTGAATTATTTAACATTAGAAATAAATAATTTTCTTTCAATTTAATGTTTTCATTTGAACTTGAATTACTTTACAAGAATTGATCCTATGAATCTCTATATACAACGTTGCAGTATATACATAAAAGTTATTATATAAAATGGATCAACTGATTTTTATATTTACAATATATCAGCCTCAATTATAAACTTTGACAGTTAACACATAAATGCGAACAACCTGATAACACTCAATATGAAGTGCCAAACGATTCACATGGCTTAAACATGTTCAACTGAAAAGAATTAGCTGTGCCAAAATTCTTCATCACCTCCAACCGCTATTCAGAAATGAAAATCTTAATGCTAAGAACAGGAAACTGATATATAACCAAATAATTCGTCCGTCACTTCTATATGATTGTGTAGCGTTTAGCAAAGCTTCAAACACTACTATTTACCAGCTAGAAATTGCACAAAGCCAGGCTCTGAGAAGACTTTTCAAAGTTCCATGGTATATTAATGACGAATGACATACTTAGGGACATCAAGATTGATCCCATCAAAAAATACATAAAGGATAGAGCCCTTAAATTATTTGAGAAAACTGACAGACTTACCAACACCGCGTTATC